TCTTTGAATGTGACATGTTTGGGGAACTCAACGAAAACACAAGACCAAAGAGTATCACCTTTACTGTATTGGATAATTTACTATTCTTTTTGTTTGGCTATCAAAGCAGATGCAATTAACAGCTTAAAAGACTTATCTTTAACCTAGGCTGTCTTTTTACTTAAGTGTACAGATGTGGCTGCATGCCTACAAGAGTAATAGTCTCTCCCTAACAAAGGAGTCAGAATTCCACAATATGCCTTTTCTGCCGGAGGCATTGTTCCCCAAAGCACACAGCTAACTACATCTCCTGCTGTACCTGTAACAATTTAATTGTATAAGTCAGCTTAGTCAAGCATCCCTGGCTCATGACTGGGAGACATGAAATTCATTGTCATTATTGTCCCTGTCATTTTGGATCATTATATCCCGCTGCAGAATTTTTCTCACTCCAGTGCATTTTTACCTCCAGGAGCCAGGGATTATAGCTGAGGTTGGGGCGGGGGCAGGACCGTGAACTACATTTACCTCAGGGGAGCCAGAGATTAAATTGGCTTTGCTCTCTCACGAGCTAAATTCATCTATTTGTATGCTGTGAGTTTTAGGTTGGAATAAAAATGAATATTCTAGTGAAACCTGGGCTTTAATTCCCCCTCTGAAACATCGATGGAGCCAACTTTTATTTACATTAGGAAAGCCAAAGTAATTTCACGTAGGTTGTGATTTTCATGTGTGCAAAAGGAATACTTACGGGCACCATCAGGTATGAAATAACAGGCATCTCTCTCTGTCACTGTCTTGACTATCAGAAAGGAAGAATTTAAAGCTATAATTTTGTTCTCTGGTTTCATTTTATGGAAGCTTAATGGGTGTATTTAATGGTTTTAAATATTTAATGAGTTTTAATTATATCTCATTTTCTGGGCACTGGATTGGATGGCTGAAGTTCAACTAGAATAGCACCGAAGATCTCACCCTGGGACAAGAAGGCTGAAGTAAAGTTGACAGAGGAAGACAAGGTACGTTCCTAAGGAAACTGGCTACCCCCCGGAAGCTGCATGGCAGAATTTCACAGCCTGCCAAGTCAGATAAGGGGCTCAGGGCTCCAACATTTTTGGCCAACTTGGGAAAATGGGCTTGGTCACCATCCTCCCTACTTGGCATCTATCTTATAAGCAACAATGGCCAGGGTCCAGGCAAGGAGTTCTCCACTAGGGCAATATCAAGAGCTGGGAAGTAAACACTGGGATATGTGTCAAAGACTCAGTAAGCTGACTGGATGTTTCCTGTCTCAGAACATAAGAACAAAAACTAACTGGAGGAACAACCTCTGCTATGTTACTTCCTACCCCAAACTTCTTTACACACAGATGTAATCTGACTTCAAAAACACAGCAGGCATTCTTCAACATGGTGTCATTGTGCTTTTTCAGCAGCTAACAATAACTGAAGCAATGGGAGCCAGTCTGGTGGTTCCACCTGCAAGCACAGCATCCAATATAGATGCTGGTTTGTGTCCCAGATGCTCCACTTCCCATCCAGCTCCCTGCTTGTGCCCTAGGAAAGCAGTAGAGGATGGCCCAAAGCCTCAGAACCCTGCAACCACATAGGAGCCCAGAAGAAGCTCCTGGCTCCTGGTTTCAGATCAGCTCAGCTCCAGCTGTTGAGGCCATTTGGGGAATGAACCAGAGGATGGAAGATCTTTCTCTCTGTGTTTTCTTCTCTCTGTAAATCTGCTTTCCCAATAAACATAAATAAATACTGTAAAAAAAAAATAGCAAAGGTGCCTATTTTTAACACGCACAGAATAGCCACTATAATAAAAATAGCTAAAGTTTGTGGGATTTATTCTATTACCCTTACAGAATTTTATGAGGAAATCAATTTTTGCTTTGATCCTATACAATAGCCATTAGACCTTATTTAGGGTGAATTATGCTTACGAGTAAGTAAGATATGATTTTTTTGCCTTTTTATTTTGTACTTAGGAGAACATTCTACAATTCTTAAAATCTATTATATTAGTGATCTTAAAGATTCATTTCAGCCCCTAGTCCAAGTTCATGGTAGTGTTCACTTTTCATACTGTTACACAGATATATAGATATATAGAGATATTATATATAAAGAGGAGGAGAGACAGAAAGATCTTGCGTCCACTGATTCACTCCCCAAGTGGCCGCAATGGCCAGAGCTGAGATGACCTGAAGCCAGGAGCCATGAGCCTCTTCCGGGTCTCCCACACAAGTACAGAGACCCAAGGCTTTGGGCCATCCCTGACTGCTTTCCTAGGCCACAAGTAAAGAGCTGGATGGGAAAGGGGGCTGCTGGGATTAGAACTAGCGCCCATATGGGATCCTGGCACGTTCAAGGTGAGGACTTTAACCGCTAGACCACCGCGCTGGGCCCTGCTTTTCATACTGGTATTCTTCACTTTTACTGGATCTGAAGGTACTATACAATGTATTACTAAGAAGAGTTCTTAGCCAGCAAAATTACCAGTGGTATTTAAAACTCATTGAAGCAAGACAATCCTGAAGTGGGAACTATACAGTTTATCCTTTCAGTTCACTTTAAAATAGCTACTTTTATGTTAGGTAAATTTCTTCCCATTAAAGTATTTTTCAGTAAAAAATAAAAGTTACTTCACACAGCCTGAGTGTATTCTGAAATCGCCTGATCTATTATAACTCATGAAGCATATTTATAAGGAGCAGCATTTTTTTTTCTTATGAAGAAAGGTTTACCTTACGAACTACAGTGTCTGCACCTGTGTTGGCAATAGCAAGCAACCCTAAAAGCACTGTTTTCTCTCTGTAACATTCACGTAACAGGATGATTCTTTTTTTCTGACTGGATAGTAAGAACTCCTTCCTCAGATGAGCATGAATTCACTTAATTCTTCTCCCAGCGCCTCTCCTCTTTAATTCTCTGTTGCTATTCAGTTTTTTTTTTTTTAACCCATAATTTTGGGTAAAACAGGAGCCACCCCTTTGGTGAACACATGGAACCACAGCACATAGTAATTTACATCCTTGTTCGGCGTTACATCAAGTTTGACATACCTGGACCCATATCATTTTAGAACGAGGTCTTAACCAAATTTATTTCAAGTAACTAGAACAAAATTACTTTTACTCCATTCATTCAAGAATTAAAATTTTATACCATTTCCAAGGAGAATTGGAAAATTTAAATAATAACTGTGGAATTCCTAAATGATCATCAATAGCTCATAATTGTGCAATCTGTAACAAGCAAAAAGGATCAATTCAGGATTAAGGGAATTCTTGTTCTTCTTATTCCCAACAGAATAATGTTACTTCTGCATTAGACTGCAGAGTTCCTTTCATCTTTCCCTGTAAAATCAGTCAGAATCTAAAGATTTATAACAATATCAAATCTACATTTGATAGGAAGTCACAAATTGAGATATGATCACCACTAAATTCCGGAGATCCAGATAATATGCAATCTAATCAAATCCATTCATGTCTAGCACGTAACATCGTATACAAAATAAACAAACACATGAGGACTTGTGCAGTGCAGGCAGGATTAGTAATTAGAGGCAAAGCCCACGAACATTTCCATGTCAGGTCAGGAAGGATGCTATCTGCAGAATGCCTTCTAATCCTCCTCCTGGACCACAAACCTCTTTACTATAATCACCCAATAAACTACTACAGAGTAACATTAAGGGCAGATGCAGAGAAAGTAAATTCACAGTTAAGGTTGTCCTTTAACATACAGGATCAAAGAAGGGTACCAAGAAAGTAGCTAAGTGCCCCACCCCCACATGGTTTTCAGATGCTGGAAAGCACTGCAAACTGTTAATTTTTCTAGCTTTTAATGCTTGTCTAACACCCTTAACATTTTTTCTAATATTATTGCTCACAGGACATCTTCTTGAGTCGAGTCCCCCTTGCTCCCTATGCATATATATGTTTTGCATTTATATATGAAAGTTTGACAGACAGCTAAAAAGAAGTAGGGAAAAAGGTAAGAGAGGCCTTGGGACATCCTATAATGTGAAGTATAGCTTTCAGTCTCCTGAGAAGCTAACACCACCAACAAAAACATCTGCATGCTAACAGTCTAGCAACCTAACACCAAATTCACATAATAGGGGGAAAGACAACTGGGACATAGAAACTAACATTTAATTTGTGTCATAAAATTTCTAAATCTTCTTAAACCTGTACAGTTACTATCTGTGTTTAGCTATTTCCTTATAAATGGATATTTTTGGACTATTTTCCAACCCCATATACCCTTTAAAGCTACTAGTACATTTCACAAATGGGTTTGTTTGTTTTGCTCTGTGGTCCAACTCTCAGATAAAAGTGTACAAAATTGTAGTGTACTTGCACTTTAAAAAAGAATGTTTCATCCTGGTAAATGGACGTTAGGTAATGTCACTGTTACAAAACATCTAACATTGAAATAAGCAATAAAACCTGAGGGTTTGTTGGAAAAAACTGCAATGTTCATCTACCTTCATCACATAAATTATACGTTCAAGAATTGTGTTCTATGCAAAGCACAAACATGTCAATTTCAGCCCAAGGGGCATTTTTCCCTAGGTTTATAACCCCTTGAAAATAGAGGTTTCATCCAGAAAATCCCACAGATCCGTGGCTGTTTTCACATTATAATATATTCATAAAGCAAATATTCACTGGCAAACATGTAACAAATTAAATAGCATGAGGAAGGGGTCCAAACTGTTAAGAATGAGAAATGGACCAAACCTACCATCAGACATAATATAGACATCAAACAACCAAAAGAATACACAAAATAAGCAATATTAAAAGCAAAACATTATGGGTAGTTTTTCTTTTTGAGGGGGGCCACTATTAGAAGAAGCAGTGGATCTGAATGTGTGTGTGTGTGTTACACTAGCACTAAAGTAAAGATAAAAAACTATTTCACAGTTATACTGCAAAAGTCATAGCGTATTGCACACAGTATAGTAAGAGAGGAAAATACCATGTTTTATTTTATAAGTCACCTACCGTCATAGTAGACAATCGCTCCTACTAGTTTGTCTTTCTGGAGCATGGGGAAATGTTCAAGGGCTCTCGATTTGCTGAGGACATAACTGCTTTTCAAGCAATTACTTCCTGCCACCAGATCATAGAGCTTGATTCCTACCCAGTAGTAAGGCAACTGCCACCACCTGCAGCATAAAATGAGGAAAGGTTTGTTTTGAGATGAAGTATAACATCATAGGATGTCACCTTTTATTACAAGATACTATTATTTTTTTGTATTTTATTTGTATTTTATTTGTATTTTTTTTGTATTTTATCTTTTGTATTTTATTTAAATACAAAAGGCCTACCTGGAAATTTAAATGGACTGCAAGGAAACAGATGATCTGTTCCTGTTGCTGACACCATCCTAACTAAGTGCACGTATGTCAAAGAACCTGTGACCCTTCAACTCTGACGCAGTTCTCAACATCCTGCGTGTTAGGATGCTTGAGACTCAAATATCCGGACTGACTGAACCAGACTAGCACGGGAGTACTCGGGGTTAAGAGTAACTGGTTTTGGCAGGCATTTGGCAGAGTGCCTAAGCAACTGCTTGGGGTGCTTGCCTTCCTTTTGGGGGTGCTTGGTTTAGTCCAGGGTGCTCTGTTTCTGATCCAACACTTACTAATGTGTACCAAAGGAGGCAGCAGTTGATACTTCATGTGCTTGGGTTACTAAGTACCTGGAACTAAATTCCAGGCTCCCAGCTATCACCTAGTCCATCCTTGGCTGTTGTAGCCATTTGAAAAATGAGCCAGTACAGTAATATGATGTGTGTTTGTGTGTGTGTATTTCTAATAAAATTGGAAGAAATTAGTATTTCTTTTTTAAAAAAAATCATGAGTTCAAGAAGTAGTGTAAAACAAAAGATGGTAAAAAACAATGAAATCTGTCTGCAGGCCCCCACAATACTTGTGTAATGAACAGCAACATGAGCCGCTTTTCAACGTGCCCTGTGTTTTCACATAAGGCAACTTCATAGATAGCTCAACAACTAGGAAATCTGGGTTGCTTAATCTGATGTCTTCTAACAAAATTTCAGTTTGGGTTAATTTAGACCCTTTGACTAGCCTAAAAAGTTCTGGGCTTCTGGTTGCTTGATTCAGACTTTTCCTTTCCTATTCTGGAAGTAGGCCTCTTACAGTCTTTAGTGAAATGCGGTTATGAATCTATACACTCACAGAAACTCGAAAAAAGAAACTATAAGCTGCAAATACAGAACACAGTCTCCTCTCTGTCTTTAAGATCTGATCCTTAATGATGGACTGAGAGAGAATAATTTCAGAAAAGCCACACTGAAATACACCAAAGAAAATATTTGAAAAGAATTACAAATTAGAAACAAATTCACAATAGGAAATACCTCTCAGGAGATGGTGTTATGGCACAGAAGGTAAAGCTGCCGCCTGCCACACTAGCATCTTAGTGGGCACCAGTTCTAGTCTGGCTGCTCCACTTGCAATCCAGCTCCCTGCTAATATGCCTGGGAAAGCAACTGCTGGGTCCTTGAATCCATTTAGGAGACCCAGAATTCCCTCACTGCTGTCTTCTAATTGGCTAAGCTCCAGCATTGTGGCCACTTGGAGCGTAAACTAGTGATTGGATGGTTGATTTTTCTCTTTCTTTCTCTTTCTTTCTCTTTCTCTTTTTCTTCTCTTTTCTCTCCCTTGCCTTCTTGCTATAACCCTTTGAAAAATAATCTTATTGCAACAACAGACATGCACATTGAGGATTATTTCCATTAAAACTGTGTTGTTCTACTGAGCTCACAAGTAAAGAGTATACAGGCTATAACAAAAGACTTACTTATAAATTGGGAGCATTATAGGCAACGGAGCTGATAAATGGGGAGCAATTTCTAGTAGGTTGGCACGTTCATGAAGGGCTTCTTTTACCATCCTATACTGAGAAGCAAAACAGAGAAAATTAGTTTGGCAGTAACAGATCATAATATTTTCAAAATGGCAAACAGACACCCTGCCAACTGATTGATACACAGGAACCTTCTACCTCTGAGCGAGGATAGCTCCCTCCTAATCAAATTTCTAATAATACATCATGCTGTCAACCTCAAAGATTTTTTAGAAGCCTTAACTGTATTTGCATAGGAGAAAAACATGCTGTCAGAGTTCCCAGGTGTAAGATATTTTCCTGACTTGAGTTACAAGATTATTATAATCATTTATCTTGCATTCTCTGCATTGTCTTCCTTTCTCAGTTCTCCATAATATTTTCTCCGTGTAAGAGATAACAGATTGTTCAAATCCATACTAAAAGTTTCCATCTTGCCTTCAATAAGCCAAGTGAAGATAATGCTGAGCCGTTGCATGGCATTTTACTAATGACAATAAAGCTTTTGTCTTAACCCCTGTCGTCCTCATTGTGCCTGTCTTAAGAGCCAGTGTTCCTAATACAATGCTAATTTCACAAATGAGAAAACTAAGGCTGGTAGATGTTGAATAAATAAGTCAAAAGAGCCATCACAAAGTAGCTGGTTCTAAACCCTAGACTATTTTCTTTGCATCCATCAAGATGCTGAAAAAGAGTTGTAAGAAAAGGGAGACAGATTCAAAACTGACTTGTCAAGGGAAGAAAGGGAGACAGATTCAAAACTTGACAGTGTCAAGTCAGTGCTGCTCTGTTTCTCATGTACCAAAAGCAGACAGAGAGTGCAGCTGATTTTTTTTTTTGCCCCTCTGGGAAATGTCATCTTCCACACTGCCTTGGCGGTTTTCAAATGGTGGCAGACTGGACACAATAAAGCGTGACATAAGAAAAGCATGACTCAGATCATCTTTTTCTTGGGAATATGTCAGTGACAATGTGAGCGAAATGATTGCAGTTGCTGTTAAGAAGATACATTTGGCACATCCCCTGAATTACAACACAGCTTTCCTGAAACTGCTTGGGAAGTAGCAATTTGGTGGCCACTGGCAAAAACCCAATCACAATTCTTAAAAGGCAGCGTGTCCAAAAGCAGTTTTGTAAATCTGCTACTTTGACATGCCCATATAGAAAAAGCCCCTGATTAGCCATTAACGTAATGCTGCAGACAAGAACTAACACACCTCTCCTGGAAGATACTCCAGCAGAATACGTTAAGTAGGTAATTCCAACAAGAAGAAATGTTAAAAGCTATTTTAAAAAAAAGAGAGAGCCTGCTTTAATTGGGTAGAAAAGCATAGTCACAATTTTTGTTTAACAACCAGCATACACAATTACCTGCTCAATATCCAACTTCATGATGGCCTTCTGAAGATATCTCACACCACCATGGATCAATTTAGTGCTTCTGCTGCTGGTCCCTGATGAGAAATCATCTCTTTCAACAAGGGCTGTTTTTAGTCCTGTGTAACCAGAAAACCAAATTAACTTCTTAAATTACACAATTTGTATGTAATTCATTAAAGGCACTTCTCTAGGGTAGAGACAATCACAAGAAAAATTACTCTGAACATGGATAAATTTGTATTCAAAGTGCAGTACACTGTCTATATTATAATGAAGAGATTTTAGGCTCTTCCTGAGGGAAAAGTCAAATCAGAACGGGGAGCATATTAAACGGCGAGTGAATCACAGAGAGGTAATATCACAGGACAGCTTTGTGGCAGCAGCCTACACTGGAGTGCACAGAAGGCCACAGGAGGGCTTGGCACCCAGCTGCCCTTTCAAGCTGGCTGAGTCCTGTCACAAAGACCAGAACGGAAGCTCATCCTCACTGCAAGACTCCACATACTTTGCAGTCCCTCCTCTCTGATCTACCCTCCGGCAGCACCTGCAGATCTAGACCAGACCTCCTCCTCTGCGCTGACCTGTTCAGAAGGGTGTGTGTTGAGTGGTGGTATCATGTGTGTAAAACGGGAAAAGATATCCAAGATGGCAAAACAGGGGATCAAAGAAAATAACCTCTCGTGTTGCTGTATTTACAGGAGAATTTAAAATATTTGAACACAACAATATTTTAGATTTACAAACAAATACATACCAGTACAAATGGACACAGCAATGAGTATCCAACAGTGACACAAACAAGATACTCGATGAGGGGAAGCTGCAGGGATGGTAACAACCAGCCCGTGGAGTGCAGAGGACCTGAGAAATTTAGTCTGGCTCCAGCAAGGCAGCCACAGGAAGGAATTCCAAATTCAACAACACTACAGCACACTAATTTCTTTCTTTCTTCTTCTTCTTCTTCTTTTTTTTTAATAATATTGCATAGTTGATTAGGGTACAAAGGGTCAAGGGCTACAGGAAAGTGGATAAGATTATTATTTCCATCATATTTTTCATCCTATTATATCATCATTTTTTTCCCTGTATCTGGGGTCAGGGGAGAAACAAAGGGAGAAGCCCCACCCAGCCTCCTACTCATCCCAGGCCCCCGATGTGGGGCACGCTCCAAGGGTCCTGCTCAAGCAGTTTTGGATAGTTCAATAGGCCTGAATTGTTGCCAATCTCGCCATTCCAATCACGATGAAGGCTATTCAGAATCCACTGGCTGACATAGTCTCTTCATGGTTGGGGTTCTGAGATCAGCAGTTCAGTTGGAGAGATCTCCAGAGAAACTTCTTCTGAGGTGATCCCAGACCTGATTCTTGTGTGTGCTTGCCGATACAAGGTCCAGCACAGTCCATCACCCCAATCAGCTTATGCACATGCTGGCCTTTGCAATTGTTGGGTCAGTTCTGTTTCCAGCCGTGTCTTCCAGGTGAACTAATGGGTGTTGCAAACCAGCCCAATCCCGGCCATTTTATACTCGACCCTCATGCAAACCAGTGGGAGCTGCAGCCTAGTTAGGGCAACTCCCCGTAACCCCTACCAGGCCTGCCCCATACCCTGGTTCCCATGCTTGCCTTGCTATGTACTGCACACTTGTTTAGTTTGTCCCACATCCCATTTAGCTCTCATACATGTCAATGGGCATTGAAGTCTAGTTCAACCCAACCAATCCTACTCTACAGCCTTCACACATATTGGCAGGTGCCTTTCTGTCTAGCCACCCCTGCCCATGTCCTGGTTTTCATGCTCTCCAGTGGGAATGGTAACCCAAGAGGGAGGTGCCCACTATTTTCCTAATAGGCCACTCCCATTCCTGGATTATGCACTCTCTAGGTGATTCTGGAGTTTAACTTGACAGATTTAGTCCCCAGTGGCAGCCTCTGCCAGCTGATGCTGCGGCAAAGCCCAACCAACCCTCACCCCCTCTAATTTTTGCTTGCACCAGTTGGAACAGTCAGCCCAACCTGGCTTTTCCCTGATCTAGTTCACATGAGGCCCACAGGTGTTGTAGCCCTGCCTGGTCTGGTCTGCCCCCATCCCAACTCATGCTCTCAAGTGAGAAGCACACTAATTCTTAATTCAATGATTCTGCATGACCACGAGTGATGGAATAAATATCCAAATGGCCCCTAGCAGAATAAGGGCTCCCCAGCCCTGAGTTGGCAGAGGCCACTTCTAAGTCAACCCTCTCCCTTCACTTGAGGATTGCTCTAAGTCTCTTTCACATGAAACTAGCTTTGCTTTATTTGTTTCCCTGCAGAAACACCCTGCCTCTTCAGATCGGGATGACTAGCAGGACCAAGACCTACCTGAAAGCCAAAACCTCCAAAGACCCAAAGTTTGTGCCTACACCAAGCCAGGACAAATGTCCCTGGGGTGCCATACTCTTGGGGTTTGAGAGAATGTCATAGGATGCAATTGCAGTTAAGAATATGCAAAGGGGGCAGCCTGGGCTCACAAATCTCCTATAGGAAAACTGGGCCATAGATTCCATTCAGGTCATTCATTGTATTTAATACCAAAGGGTCGTTTTTATAACTTTTAACAGTTTGAATATCGTACCCAAATGTCATCATAAAAGCAGGGCAATTCCCTTACCACAAAAGGACAAAACAGTTAGCAACTAGGGAGAGAAGAGTAGAGAATTTTTATTTCAGGTCAAATATTGCTAATGACTTATCTTACGAGCAAAACAGCACATAAATTATAGGTATCAAAGTCCCAGGTCATTGTGTCTAAGCATATGTGCAAGAAAAAGAGATGTACAATACTTAAATATTAAAATCCTTCAGCCTAAGGAACTGTATCATGAAAAAATGTTTTAATATAATAAAATATATATAATAACAATAGCATATAGTAAAAACAATAAAATAAAATAAAGCTATAACACTGGATGTTTTTTAAAAAAAAAGAACACTATATCAGGATAGATTTTATTGCTATCTTGATTTTTTTATAAATTTGTGTCACCATCAGAGACAGACAAGGAGTTCTCACTTGCTGGTTCTTTCCTCAAGTGTTGGAAATGGTCAAAACTGGGTGAGACCCAGACGCAGGGCCCAGCATGTGCGGATGGCAGAACAACAATGCATAAAGTCATTAGGGCTCTGACTCAGGACTGGGCAGGAAGGCAGAGTCAGGGAACCAGAGCTGGGACTAGAATGCATGTATTTGGATGCACAGAACGTTATGAGCATAAAAGTGGATTTAGCGAATAAATTAGTTGTAGACCAGGCTGTGAAGTATGGGATACTTCGCTGACCTTATTATCTGCTTCACAGAAGATATTTCAAGAAGTTGTTGGAAAACTCAATTGAAAGATAAGTTTATTCTGAAGCAAAAAAGATTCTGAAATTCCTGCAGACTCTCTTGCATGAGGTACATTTTCTATGAACTTTTTTCTTAAAGATGTATTTATTTTTATTGCAAAGTGAGACATACAGAGAGGAAGAGAGACAGAGAGGAAGATCTTCCATTCGAGGATTCACTCCCGAAGTGACCATAACAGCTGGTGCTGAGCTGATCCGAAGCCAGGAGGCAGGAAACTCCTCCGGATCTCCCACTTGTGTGCAGGGTCCCAAGGCTTTCGGCTGTCCTCGATTGCTTTTCCAGGCCACAGGCAGGGAGAAGGATGGGAAGTGGAGCATCGGGCACATGAACTGGCAGCTATATGGGATCCCGGTGCGTTCAAGGCGAGAACTTTAGCTGCTAGGCCACAGCACCAGGTCCTCCTATGAACTTTTTAAAGACTCCCCAATATGCATGGATTATCAAAAATGTTTTGCAACAAAACAAGCTTATTTTTTTAAAGATTTATTTATTTTTATTGGAAAGGCAAATTTACAGAGAGAAGGAGAGACAGAGAAGAAGAACTTCAATCCGATGATTCATTCCCCAAGTGGCTTCAACAGTTGGAGCTGCGCTGATCTGAAGCCAGGAACCAGGAACTTCTGGGCTTCCCACATGGGTGCAGGATCCCAAAGCTTTGGGCCGTCCTCAACTGCTTTCCCAGGCCACAAGCAGGGAGCTAGATGGGAAGCAGGGCTGCTGGGATTAGAACTGGTTCCCATATGGGATCCCAGGGCATTCAAGGCGAGGACTTTAGCCACTAGGCTATCATGCCGGACCCCAAGCTTACTTATTAATTCTTTCCATTAGTGGTTTGAAGTATGTTTGTAACCCCTGGTTCAAAAGTAGGCAACTAAACAAAGCACAGCAGAGTTTTACAAGGGTGCCATTTAAAAATCTGGAAGATTCTTACCTTCCTTCAGGTTAGCATAAACCCAAAATTACTGGTATATCAATCAAGACTGCATTTGCAAACAAGTTCAAAAATGCACTGTCTCAGTAAGCTACATCACCTTTTCTTAGCCTGTCCAACACAGACAATTCTCCTTCCAGCACAAAAATAGACCTTTTTTTCTTCAAGTTGAAGATCAAACGAGGGAGTTGACTTTCAAATAGCATTTAAAAGAGACAGATTACTTAAAATACAAGGATGTCTCTTTTTAAACCCTGGCACCTCCGTCATGCTGTGAAGATGTCCATGCCTTGAGAGGCAGGGGAACTGGACAGAGGCCCAGCAGCCCATCCCTCCCGCAGCTTCCTCACCTGGGCCTACCAGAGGTATGTAGACACTAGGGTCATAGAATGTCCCAACTGCTCCCAGGAATCCTTACTTCCTGGTTGGTAGCTCCCTGTCCTAGAGTGCAGGTTGGACCTTTCTTCTAATGAGTAACTGATGTTCTAACCACTTCTGTGATTTAGGCTAAGGCGCGTTGGGAAATGCTCTCAGTCTTGCCCTCCCACCTGCTTGAGCACTGTGAGTTCAGGAAGCAGGTGAAGTCCCCAGGCAAAAGGTGGTGAGCAACTGGGGCTTCCGTCTAATCAGCGGGAAGTGAATCCTGCTCAAGGACCATGGGAGAAAGCAGAAAAGCACCTTGGCCTCTAAGATTCCGTGAGCCACTGGATCCAGGAAAGGTTCCCCCAGATTCCATACCCACAGAAATAGACGAATACTGCTACTGTTTTAACCAGCACATTTTCAGGGTTATTGATTGGATAT